CCGGAGCCGTTAGCTTCCTGATGTCGAAGGACCCTGTGAAACCAATTAGTGGAAAAGCAGTGGTGTTTGTTGGGGCCAGGGGTTCGGAGCTGGAAGGGGGGAAGGGGAGGCTCGAGAGCTCTCTCCTCCCACGCAGCGTGTTTAGCCGTGACCTCTCCGTGCTGGGCGGCCGATGATGTCCTTTCATTCCCGGGCTCGTTTCTCCCCGGGCGCGTGGCCCTTGTCAGCTTTGCTGAGGAGGAGGAGGGATCTAACTCTCCAGAGCAGCTTTTAACACTTGTTTAGAAACACCAAACAAACAGCCGCTTCTTGCCAGCCCTCCTGATGGAGCTCGGTTTAGGGGGAGGACCCAACCTGCTGCTGCCTGCAGCTGCCATAAGGAGCTCTGACCCTGGATCTGGGCAAAGGCTGAGCTGGGTTTAGGCAAACAGCGATTCCCTGCAGCTCCCAAGGGTTTTCTTGCTGTGGAAATTGTGAGTAGAATCACAGAATGGCTCAGGTTGGAAGGGACCCTAGAGATCATCTAATCCACCCTCGCTGCCATGGGCAGGGATGCCTCTCAGTGAGACCAGGTTGCTCAAGGCCTCATCCAGCTCAGCCTTAAAACCTCCAGGGAGGGGACATGCACAACTTCTCTGGACAATCTATTCCAGAGTCCTGACGCCCTTGTACTGAAGAACTTCCCAAGATCTAGTCTAAACCTCCTCTCCTTCAGTTTAAAACCATCCCCCCTTGTCCTGTTGCTGGACACTCTTGTGAAAAGTCCCTCTCCAGCCTCCCTGTAGGTTCCCTTCTGGCACTGGAAGGCAGCTATAGGATCCCCCCAGAGTCTTTTCTTCTCCAGGCTGAACAAGCCCAGTGCCCTCAGCCTACCCTCATAGCAGAGATGCTCCAGCCCCTGGATCATCTTTGTGGGCTCCTCTGGACACATTTCAACAGATCTATGTCCCTTTTATGATGGGGACACCAGAACTGGATGCAATATTCAAGGTGGGGTCTCACAAGAGCAGAGTAAAAGGGGAGAATCACCTCTCTTGATCTGCTGGCTGCACTCCTCAGCTATGGCTGCCTTGCCTCCAGGCACTGGTCTCAGGTCTGATGCTGTCCTGGGACACGTCCCGCAGGCTGCCTGGGAGCGGGGAGACTGGCTGCCCCCGTTCAAGCCCGCTGAGGGTGATCAGCCTGGTCCAAGTCTGAGGGCCACCAGTTAACCCCAGAGGCGATGGCTGTGGTGGGGCTGTGCAGGAACAGCCCCTGGCTCCCTGTGCCCCATTGGGGCTGGGGGTGTGAACAATGTCTGCTGCTGCTTGCTTCCCACTCTTTGCCCATCTGCCTTGCCTTGCTGTGGGGGGCATGTCCAGGAGTGGGTCCTGTGTAAGGGGGAGGAGAATCAGACCAGGAGGAGGAGGCTGCAGCTGGCTCAGGCCCCAGGGATGCAGCTGCCCAGATTTGCCAGGAATGCAAAGGGCTCGCACATGCTTGGTCCTGCTGTGAGCATGGCCGTGGTGGGAGCCTGTCTTGGTGCTGCCAGAGGTCCCTCCTGGTGCTCGAGAAGCTCTCTGCCAGCCTGGGAGGAGCACAAGCAGGGGAGGGCGTTGCCTGCAGGGGAGCAGTCCTTTTTCCTGGGTCAGCACCTGCCTTCCTCTTGGACCCCCCCAGCCCGCATTACTCTCTCCCTCTCCTGCTGCCTGCAGCTGCCTTTTACCCTGCTCTGCCTTGGTGTCACTGGGGCCCCAGCCCCGTCTCCAGTCCCAGCCAGGACTCACAGCCCTGCCACTGAGCCCAGGTACACTGCAGCTGGGCCCTGCTGTGAAACAGCCCATGAGTGCCTCCTTGGAGGCTGTGGTCCTCTCTTGTCCCACCACCGTCTGTCAGACCACACCCACCTACCTTGTTGGGCATCAGCCTGGTCCCCTCCCTGCCCAGCCAGCCTCAGCACAGGGTTTGCTGGCAGCGAGAAACCCTTTTCCCTGCTGCCTGCCATGTGCAGGGACCTGGAGGACATGCTTTCTTCGAGGACATCTTGGATGTGGGGACTTCATCCCTGAGTATGTGAGACCTGGCCAGAAGCCAGGCAGATCCAGATGTTTTCTCGCTGGCTCAGCTGGAGCCGTGGCTGATGCTGCCCTTGTCTCCCTCCCATCCATTTCCTTGTCACCTGCGAGGTGTCTCCGTCTGCAGTGGGGTGTCCAAATCACAGTCCTCTGCTTGGACACATCTGGCATCTCCTGGTTTGTTCTGGGGCGGATTTGTGGATACGACTGTCATTCAGGAAACCTTTCCCACTCTGTGGGTTCCTTGCAGAGGCTCTGGCATTTATCACCACCCACTGCTCCTGGCTGCTTGTAGGGCAGTAACGCCCAGCCCGCCTGAGCGAGGCGCCCCCATGGCTCTGCTCCCGTGGCTGATGGGCCGTGCTCTCTCCTAGCTGTTCCCCGAGACCGGCCCCAGGCAAGGAGGGACCCGCCTGACCATCACCGGCGAGAACTTGGGCCTGAAGTTCGAGGATGTCCGCGGGGGTGTTAAAGTGGGCAAAGTGACCTGCAGCCCCATCGAGAGCGAGTACATCAGCGCCGAGCAGTAAGTGCCTGGCGGGGCGTGGGCGTGCTGCTCACCACCTCAGTAGCTTGGGGACAGGGGTGCTGGTTTTCAAATGCTGCCTGTGTCTGTGGAGGACATGGAGCTGACTGGGCTGAACTGGGAGAGAAGTACCTGCTGGTTGCGGTTGCTCTGGGAGGAGCCCAAAGACACTGGGGAAGCTCCCCCCAGGGCTGGCAGTGCCAGCAGCTGCTGCCATGGTTTCTCATGAACTTGCTGGCACCTTAGACCTTTGCTTGGTGTCAGATAAGTCCCTTCCTGAAGCTGGTCCACCCCCACCATGGCACAGGGAGTGTCTTGATGCTGGGACACTGAAGGCTCCTTCCCTGCATCCCTTAGGATAGTGTGTGAAATCGCAGATGCCAGCTCGAGCAAGGTCCCCGAGGTGCGGGTGGAAGTGTGCATCCGTGACTGCTCGACCAACTACCGCGCCGTGTCCTCCAAGAGCTTCACCTTCGTGGTAAGCCCCGTGCTGGGGGACAGACGTGATTCTGGATGATTCTGGGTGGTTTTCCAGACAAGCTGGAAAACTTTCCATCATTCCCCTTGGGGGCAGGCGGGGATCCTCTGGGAAGGTGCTGAGTCGTGCTGGTTGGATTTCTCCAAGGCTGCTACCGCTCTGTCTCCCTGTGGTCCTGCGGGCACTGCCAGCCTTTAGGACCATGCCCCGCTGCTGTCCCACAGGTCCCCTCCTCTGCTTCCCCATTACCTATTTGGGGTTGCCTGGAGATGCGGGTTTCAGTCCCCAGACCACTTGACACCAGGGCTGCTCTTTTCCTTTGACAGACACCCACCTTCTCCCGCGTGGTCCCAGCTCGGGGTCCTCTCTCTGGTGGCACCTGGATTGCCATCGAAGGTAGCCACCTCAATGCCGGCAGCAACGTCTCCGTGACCATCGGGGGACGGCCTTGTGCGTTCTCATGGTGAGGGGCACGGAGGTGGTGGAGGACAGGCGATGGGCACTTCTGGAGGCAGCGGGACCCCTGATAGAGCAGTGACTGGGAGCCTGTGCTGGGGAGCCAGGAGGGACCCCAGGAGTGAAACCCTGTGGGTGGCTGGAGGAGGTGTCTCCTCTTGAAACCTCGGTGTGTCAGAGGCTGCAGGAAGAGCAGATTTTTCTCTAAAAGCACAAAGCCCTGAGGCATGAAGTGGATAATTTTTAGATTAGGGATGATAATGGAGCGGCTCTTTAAATATTTTCCTGCAGTAATTACTGGTTATCAGCCCTAATCGCTGCTGTTTGCAGCAGCCGTGCGATGGGAACGCTCGGGAGCTGCGCAGCCGATCCCGGCTGCCTTGGGTTGCTTTTCTGGGGTGCTGGATTTTTTTCTTCTTTTCCTCCTTTCTCTCTTCCACCCCCCCTGGCTGTTTCAGAAGGTGGGAGGGGCTGGGGCAGAGGGCTCCAGGCAGCACGGGCTGCCCTCAGCCTGCCCCCCACCTCCCTCCCGCCTGGGCACTGACGGGTTCTGTGCTCCTGCCCCAGGAGAAGCGCCCGCGAGATCCGGTGCAGGACTCCCCCCGGGCACACCCCCGGTGGCTCTCCCATCCTCATCAACATCAACCGGGCGGAGCTGAGCAACCCGGAGGTGAAGTACAACTACACGGAGGACCCCACCATCCAGAAGATCGATCCCGAGTGGAGCATCAACAGGTGAATTGTGCAGTGTCCGCAGGGAGCTTGTGGGGTGTGGGGGTTGCCCTTTTCCTCGTGGATCTCCTCCTTGTGATGAGTCCATCTTGGTGCTGCTGTGATAGCTGCCCAGCCATGCTCCAGAGATGTGGAGGGAGGAGTGTGAGCCACGGCTTGGCACCAGGGCCCTGCTAACTCCTGGCCTGCAGTGCTCAGCCTGGCAGGGGGCAAGAGCAGAGAGCGCTTTGGATCTGCTTAGTTTCAGCTTGACATTTGGCGGCGGCAAATAAAATTAAAATATTTCCCATCGGGGGATTTTTTGAAATGTTTACATATTTTTCTAAAAGGTTTGAATTGGCTGGAGAGGAGGCAAAGAAATCCATTAAGAGCTAGCTCCAAGGGAAACCTTCCCCAGGGTGTTGATGAGGAGTGAGCTCCCCAGGGGCATGGCCAAGCTCTCCAGGACCGTGGGGCTTTTAACACCTAGCTGTGGAGAAAACCTGACAGGCCTCAGCCTGCCCTGCCACCCGCTGCCTGCGTGGTGGAGAAGAGGGTGGCAGAGAAGATCGTCTTCTCCTCAGTATGCTTCTGAAGGTGCCTGGTCTCCTTTAGCTTGGGAGCTGCCTTCAAACTCCAAACCCAGACACAGGGTGGGATGTTAGTGTTACTTAGCAGATTTTCCATCTCTAATTGTGCCCTGGGTCAGCCAAGATGATTTGGCAGTGGTGCACGTCAGATCCTGCCAGCCATAGTGACATCTGGGTGGGATAAGATATCCCCATGGCATTGTGGTTCACCCAGACTGGGTCAGCTGGGCGTCTGGCTGATCAGGCTGGGTGCTTTCCTCCCTGAAGCTGAGACCTAGTGCCAGGCTGCCTTTCCTAACTAACCCATTGTCTCCGTGTCTCTAGCGGTGGGACGCTGCTGACTGTGACTGGCACCAACCTGGCCACCATCAAAGAGCCCAGGATCCGGGCCAAGTATTCCAGCTCTGAAAGAGAGAATGTAAGTGTTGCTGGCTGGGGTTGGGGGTAGAGCACAAGGAGGAGGGTTGCTGTCCCTCTGCAACATAGAGCAGAAAGCATCAGGTGTGGTGGTGTGGAAGGGCTCGTGTCCACAGGTTGCCACCCAAAGAGAGACATCGATCTCCCTGCAGAGCTTCTGGCCAGGAGCAGCCAGGAGGGGGTTGAGATCTGATAGGAGAACTGGTGGGAGGTTTGTGTGCTATCTGAGGACAGTGACAGAAAAAGCCTACCCCCAGTGAGCTCCCACCTGCCACCTCTCACACATCCACTGCAGACAGGAGTCTCTCTCTACCCTGGGGCGGGATGTGGCACCTGCTGATGTAACAGTGCAAGAGAGGAGATCCCAAGTCTAAACCCTGTGTCCAGAACTGCTGCTTGTGGGAGATCCTTGGGAGGTTTGATCCTGAGCTCCCTGTTGGGAGCTGAGTCTGAGCTTGGTCTGTGCCTCCTGCAGAACTGCACCGTCTACAACGACACCACCATGGTGTGCTATGCACCCTCCATCGACAACCCCCAGCGCAGCCCTCCCGAGCTCGGAGACCGCCCGGATGAGATCGGCTTTGTCATGGATAACGTCCAGGCTCTGCTGATCATCAACACCACCAACTTTGTCTACTACCCGGACCCTGTCTTCGAGCCGCTCAGCCCCACGGGGATGCTGGAGCTGAAGCCCAGCTCTCCCCTCATCCTCAAGGTAAGAGTGTGCACCCAGGGACATTTTGTCTCCTGGGGCAAAGTCCTGAATTGCAGTAGTACAGATGTGCTCTATGTTGGGGTTTTTTTAAGCATTCCCTGTTGCATGAGAAGTGACGGTCTCATTCCTTGTTCCCTCAAAGGGCAAGAACCTCCTCCCACCAGCTGCTGGTAACTCCCGCCTGAACTACACGGTGCTGATTGGGGACACTCCCTGCATCCTGACCGTCTCCGAGACCCAGCTCCTCTGCGAGTCCCCCAACCTCACGGGCCAGCACAAAGTCACGGTAAATGTCGAGCCGGTGCCTTTGCTTCCCGTGTTCCGTGTGTCACAGGGGCTCAGCCTTTGTCCCGGCACTGGCCCTACTGCGTGTTTGTCCTCTCACGGGGACCGAGGCCTGCCTGTGCCCTGGGGGGCCCTGCCAACAGCCTCCTTTCCCTGCCGGGTGCTCAGGCACAGCCTGTGCCAAGGTGAGGGGCGTTCCAACCCCTTCCCCCTGCTGCTCAAAGAAAGGCTGCTTTGTTTGTGGGGTTGTAGCACAGCAGTGCTGGTGCTCCAGGGCCCTGCCAGGATGAAAGGGACCCAGCAGGGTCTCCCCCAGGCTCCCCACCCATGGGGGAACTTGCGTCTCATCCCATCTGCTACTGTAACGTTGTCTGAATGAGACATCAAACTCTGCGCCCGCTCCGCACGCGCCCTGCAGCATGTCCTGCGTCCCATTGAAGCGTGCTGTGCTGCTCCGGGCAAGCTCCTGCCATCCCTGCCTTTTTCCACAGCCTTCCTCCCCAGGGCTGGGAGTCATCCCCTGCTTCTAGACTGGATACTAGGAAGAATCTCTTTACTGAAAGAGTGATGAGGCATTGGAACAGGCTGCCCAGGAAGGTGATGGAGTCACCATCCCTGGAGGTGTCTATAAAACGTGTAGATGTGGCACTCGGGGACATGGTTTAATGGTCATGGTAGTGTTGGGTGGTGGTTGGACTTGATGATCTTCGAGGTCTTTTCCAACCTTAAAGATTCTATGATTCTTAGCACAGCGGGCACGGTGGGGTGGGCTGCCCAGGGCGCATGCCCCTTGATGCCAAGGTCCGTTTTTCCCTCGACCGTGGTGCAGATCAAGGCTGGAGGGTTCGAGTTCTCCCCGGGGACGCTGCAGATCTACTCGGACAGCCTGCTCACCTTGCCCGCCATCATCGGGATCGGGGGCGGGGGCGGCCTGCTCCTCCTCATCATCATCATCGTCCTCATCGCCTACAAGCGCAAGTCCCGGGATGCTGACCGAACCCTGAAACGCCTCCAGCTGCAGATGGACAACCTGGAGTCCCGGGTGGCCCTGGAGTGCAAAGAAGGTGAGAGATTCACCATGCTGTTGACGTGGGGTCTTGGAGGGTCTTGTAGTGTCCCGAGGCTTAGTGTGCTCCCACCCTTTCCCCTCTGCCATCCAGAGAGGGAATGGGAATGGGCAAAGCTGCTTTGTCAGAGGAAGCCAACTCATTTGGGGTGAGATCAGGGGATTTTTCCACTTAAGAAATTGCCCTCCATTTCTCCAAGCAGCAGAAAAGAGAGCAAGGAGGGTATGGAGGGCCGCTTGTGAGCAGGCAGTCTCTCATTATGTGACAGACGGATGCTGTGAAATTGGACAGAATTCCTTGTATGATCCTGCTGATAAAACCTAATTGCCCATTATCCCCCTGAGCTGGCTCCCGAGGCTCCGACCTTGCCAGCCACAGCCACAACCAGCCTGGGCACTGCCGATGGAACAGGCGCCGAAAACAAGATAATAAAAAGGGGGAAGAAAGGAAGAAAGAAAAGAAGAAAGAAAGACAGACAGACAAACTCTTTGCTCCCCAAAATCCCCATCCCTACACATGCCTGTGGATGGCACTGGTGACAGGAAGAGGGGAGGGAGCCGATGGAGGGGATGGTGTCTTGTCTTCCACAGCTGGCAGATAAAAGGATCTGCTTTTAATTAAAAGGCACAATCTCTTCCCTGCCTTTCCTCTTCTCTAGTCCCACTAGTTACAGATAAGATAGCATGCCTTTCAAGCTGACGGTTTGTTTTTTCTCATCAGGCTGACGAGCCTGCTGTCCTCTGCCTGGCTTTCAGCTGCCTTTAAAGTGCCGTTAATTTGATTTTTCTGAGGGTTTCCCCCCACTCCCCAAACCCCTTTCCCTGGTGCATCTCCAGGACTCCTCTCCTGTCAGCTTTTCCCTGTAGGTGCAATTAAAGGTTCAGGACCCCCCCACATCATGTTCCCCCAGGAGTCCTAGTTGCCTCTGCTCAGATTGGGAGGTGCCAGGGTGGGTGTGTTCAAGCTCTTCTCTCGAGTAGTATTTAGGTCAAAAAGAAATGAGAACATTCTTGTGGTTTAGGCTAACATTTTCCCCCAGAAGCTCTGGCTTTGTTCAAGCCTTGCTGTTCCCTGCTGCCCCAAGCATCCCTGGGAGGTAGTGAATGCTGAGCAGGGAAGATTTGAGCCCCCCGGGGACCTGATGGTCCTGTTCCAAAATCTGTCACTTGATTTATTCAAGGGAAGTCATCCCCACCCTCAACAGCTCAGTTTCTCCGTCTGTGAGGTGGGGACAGCGACTGGAGCCTGCTGGGGGGAGGGATGTGGAGCTGCTTTGCACTGGGAGTCTGGGGGGTGTGGTGGGGACCGGGTGCTGATTCCGCCTGCTGGGACTCTGGGATGTGTTGCTTAATTCTACTTCTCCCACACCAGCCTTCGCAGAGCTGCAGACTGACATTAATGAGCTGACCAACGACCTGGACGGGGCCGGCATCCCCTTTCTGGATTACCGCACCTACGCCATGCGGGTTCTCTTCCCGGGGATAGAAGACCACCCCGTGCTGAAGGAGATGGAGGTGTGGTTCTGTCTGTCTCTGTTGTGTTTCACGCTGGGGGTGTCCCCCTGCTTGATGCCCTGCGAGGCTCCCCGTACCCCCTGGAGAGCTGTTTTGGTGGTGTGCTGGCCCAGCGAGGTGCAGCAAAGAGCATCTTGCCGCGTGGCAGCTGACGTGGCCGCAGACTGGCTGCCAAGTGGTTACTGCTCTCTGACGTTAATAGCAATATTTATATTAATATCATTGCTGCTGTCATTTTCTACAGCACTTGCTTTATTCAATTGCGTTCATTTGATGCCTGACCGGGCCGCTCGTTTCTAGCAGACTCGTCCGCCATGGCCTGCTTGCTTGGCTCTGTATCCCCTTGCAGAACCCATCCTTGGCATTCTTCTGCTCCCCAAACCAGCTTCCTCTCCTCTCCTGGCCTCCCCACGTCTGTTTAATTTAGTGTGTGCAATTGCACAGCAATTGGCTTCTCATTTGCTGGGCTGCCGAGGCCGCCTGTGATTAGAGAAGGGGGGGAAGGCGGGGGGTGGGGGGGTGACCTCAGCTTCCCCTCGCTGCTGACCCGGCATGGTAATTAATGTCGACGTGGGCTTCACAATGTATTTAGGAGAAGTAATTGGCCCTGGTGCAAGATGCGCGGTCACTAATTACAACCCAACAAGCTCTTACCGACTGCAAACGCACGTGCTGGTGTTGTAGGCCAGCATGGCTCTAGCACGGGACCCTGGCCCTCTGCCTGCTCCCTTCCCTGCTCCCTAATCCCAGCTCCGAGGGCTGTGGGGACCCCGTTTCCATGGATTTCCCCTTGCAGCTCAGGTTTCCGGATGCTCGGAGCTGAAGCGACGCGAGTGTAACCCTCCCTGGGGCACAGCCCTTCCTGTCTGTGCAAACTCTGCCTGCCTTTCCTCTCACCTCTGCTCTCGCTCTGAAGGGTTTGCCCTAAAGAGAGAGGGATGGAAATAGCATCTAAAAGGATATTGTAGGAGGAATTCTGCATTGGCCGTGGCAGGCTGGATGGCACTTTGTCCATTTCCAGCTCCTAATTCAAAACATCCCACTCGAGAGCATGCCAGCTGAGTCTGGCCTGGGAAACAAGGGGTTAAAATTGCAAGGAAGGAAAAAAAAAAATCCCCCAAAGAGATTAAATAAAGCAACTACAGTTGTGTAAGCTTCATATAATTTAATCAGGTTTGCTTTTATTTGTCTCCTTACTCAGAGTGTAACATTAGCTATTGCAAGTGACGGGGAGGAAGCAGCACTTGCTCACGCACACGCTAATCCGCGGTGAGCGCCGGGCTGGTGGTACCAGCTCCCTTCCTCTCCAGGTTTTTGGGGGGGGAGGGGGTTGTTGCTTTGTGCAAATTTAAGCCTGATTAAATATTTAATTCAGTATTATTCATTTATTTCTGCTAAAGATCTGCAAGCTAAACATGGGAGCCCAGGTTGGTGACAGGCATGTGGGGGGCTCAACAATCGCTGTGCTCCTTCTGATGGGGGTTTCATGTCCTCCCGGGCTCCTCACCAAGGCTCCAGTCGGGTGGTCACTGTTGAGCAGGACTCGTTTCCCATCTTGTCAAGGTCTTTCTGCTCTAATGAAGAGAGCAAGCCCCTTGTCCCATGGTCTTCTTTGCTGCTCTTGGCTCTGGAAGCACCAGCAATGCACAGGAGTGGGGGTGCAGTATGTCTCCTTCTGCCCCGGTTTTACTGGTGGGTCTGGTAGGTCTCCAAAGCAGCTGCTGCACTGCAGTCAGCTCTAGGGTCTTCCTGTGCTGAGGAATCAACTCTCCATTCCTGCAGGGAGCAGCTGATGCTGCTGACCCTCAGGCATCTGCCTGTGTTACCAGCATCATTGCATCGAGGTGCTTACATGGTCTCAGGGAGAGCCTTGTGCAGAGCCTTTCTGTTATCCTCTGACCCATGTTAAGGGAAGTTGAGCCACATGCTTGCTTGTGGGGTGCCTGTAAGAGGAACCCCAAGGATGGAGGCAGAGAGAGTTGGCCACTCCCCTTCACTCTTTTGGGGTGCTCTGGGGCAGGTGTCCCCGCTTGCCTTGGTGATGGTGACAGTGGCATCTGGGGGGTCCTACCCCAGAACTGACAAGGACCGGGTGGGAAATGGGGGTTTTGTCCAGTAGGAAGGAGTATTTTGGAGAGAGAAGTTACAACTGTGAAGGAATTTCACTGAGCTGAGGAGTGCTGATCCAAAGTTTTGATTGAAATGAAATGATTTGATATGTCAAAACCCTGTTCTTCATGTTGAGTTGGTGTTTTGAAATGAAAAGTGCTATTTTGTCTCCAAATATCGACATGAAATGAAGTTTTTTATGTATTCTCCCAATCGGGGAGACAAGGGAGGGAAAGAAAAAAAAATAATTAAAATTGATGTTTTACTACAGCAAGGCTTTTATTCAGAGGAAACCATCTTTTCTAATGGGAAACATAGTGTGTTAAAAATGTTAATTTCTCGTAAAGAAATGTGGTCAGGGCTGACCAGTGCTGGCGATGGCAGCACGGAACTGAGAGCATCCCAGCCCAGTCCTTGATGGGTCCTGTGTGGCCAGGTATGGCCAAAAATACACCTTCAAACGTTTCAAAAGGAAAGGGAATATTTCAGGCTGTCTGGAGTGGGTCAGAGCCAGGTTTCTGCTTCCCTGTCTGAAACGCAAGCCCCCAAACCAGGCGGGTTTGCTGCTGGCAGAGCTGAGGGCTGTGGCTTCATTTGATTGCTCTGCAATACCCAAAGCACGTGTTGCAGCGACCTGGGTGGGAATTGAGCTGCTTGTTAGCTGAAGTTGAAAATTATAATTTGTGTCTGTTTGGGAGAGAAAGTGTGTGTGTTTCTGGGAGGGAAGTGCATATATGTCCCTGCACACATGTGAGAGAGTCCTTGTATGAAAGGGGGTGTGTGCGCATATATATATATATATACACACATATACACATTGATGCCCTAGGACTGTTAACCTGATACTGAGATGTTACCAACTAGGAAATACTTGTGGAGGGAACTGAGGCTGGTCACCAGAGGCAACTTGGTAGTATGGAGACAGAAAATCCAGCTGCTTTTTGACCCTTTTTCATCTTTTCCTTTTTGGAGATGAGGGTGAATTCAGGGTCTTGTGCAGCCCAGACACCTTTTCATCGCCCTTCCCCCTGTGCCCGTCTCCCAGCTTTGCTCTATCCTTGCAGGTTCAGGCAAATGTGGAGAAGTCCTTGACCCTCTTTGGGCAGCTCCTGAACAAGAAGCACTTCTTGCTGACCTTCATCCGCACTCTGGAGGCTCAGCGGAGCTTCTCCATGCGAGATCGTGGCAACGTGGCCTCCCTCATCATGACAGCGCTGCAGGGCGAGATGGAGTATGCCACGGGAGTGCTGAAGCAGCTCCTCTCGGACCTCATCGAGAAGAACCTGGAGAGTAAAAACCATCCCAAGCTGCTCTTGCGGAGGTGAGTGACCATCCAAGAGGTGGTAGCTGTAGGAGAGTGCCCGGGCTCTTCTGAGAGTGCGGCCGTGAGCTGGTGTCCTTGAGGGATGCCATCAGAGATGACTTTGATGTTGGCAGTGCTGGCACTGGGCCTGTGGTCAAGCATTTCCTTGCCTGTCTGCATGTAAGTATTGGGGATGTGGGACCACCTGGACCCGGCCAACTCAGGAGGAGTCACCCATGGGATGTTCTCTCTCTGGTTCAGCCCGTGTGGGTTCATGTTGTCTGTGGAGGAGGGAGCAAGGTGCTCAACATCTGCTGGTCGCATGGGCTGCTGCAGGGAGGATGCACGCTGCTGTCAGGTGCTGTTGGGTATCACTGCAGCCATGCTCCCATCTGCCTTCCCTTCTGCAGGTGACCAGGAGGTCCCCTACACCCCTCAGCACGTGGGGCAGCCTCGCATTGCCTCATAGCTGCCTTGCTGCATGGGTGCCTCTGTGTGCTGGCAGCAGGCAGGAGTCCTCCTTTCCCCACTGCCTCCTTAGGGCTTGCCCACCTTGCCAGGCACACAGGAATTTTCCTGGGAAAGCCAAGCGGATCTTCACAAGCTGGGAGTCTGGCTGGGGTGGAGGGGAGTGTGAGCAGGAGGCAGCCTGCCAAGCCCTGCCGTGAGTCTGTCTGGCCCATCAATATTTAACAATAGCTCTGAGCTCTTCTTCATCACGGGCTGATGAATATTGAAAGATACACCAAGTGCTGAACACAAACAATTAATAAGCTCTGCCAGCCCAGCTCGAGGCCCTCCGTGCTGGCTTCTCCCTTCGCACACCGTGCCGTGCCTCTCCACCTCCGCCTGCCCAGTGCCACCAGTCTCCAGCAGAAACGCAGGGAAAGCTGAGAGCCACGGGGCTACCATGTCACCAGGAAGGCTCAAGAAAACCAGAGCATCTTCAAACATCAAGTAGTGTTAATGGCACACCTGGACCAGACAGAGCCTATTAAGATTTGTGTGTGTGGCTCTGGGGAGATGCTTGGAGAAGGCTTAGGGGTGACCTG